TATAAGATTCGTTGCATTACATGCGATCAATTGTTCATACTTATTGAAAATTTAGCTGATGTACTTCCAGAGAATTTACAAATTACAATTGAAGAGTCACGAAATAAGTTATATTATTTTCTTGCTCAACAGGCAAGAAAAGTTTACCTGAATAATCAATTCAAAGTAAAATTATTAGATCTTGATAATGATGGTGCAATTCTGATATGCGATTATAAAATGAGGATCTTATCTAAAAGTATTCGTGAAATAAAAGAGCAATTTTTTGAAAAACGAGGATGGACTCTTCATACGATTTTGGTTTTTACAAAATATAATGATTTATAACTGAATATGCATACATTTGAACATTGGTCTACTGATACCAAACAAGATGCTTGGTTTACTGCATCATGAAGAATTGGCAAAAAATCTTGAATACTTTATTTAATTTGATTTAAAAAAAAATATTATTTTATATTTTGCTTTTTCAATCGTCCATTGCGTATTTACTTTTCTAGTTCATTAGCTAATAGAGTTCTATGAAATCAATAAAAGCAGGAATCAGATTAGCATTTATTATTGATTCAAGAGTTTTGATTGAATCATTATGATCACATTCAGATGTTATAGTCATAGCGGTAGTGGTGATCATCATATTCATTCACAATAACGTTTGTTGACCTCTTCTAGGTATTCTAGTGGTAGTAGTTAGAGATTGAGTAATCCTTTCATTAGGACCCGAACTATACTAATATAACTCACATTTGAGTTTGCGTAGAGTTTATATGTAAACTTTGCCAAAAGTTGCTTATTTTTACAAATTTACATATCCTATATACCTCATTATCTCAATAATCAGTATTCAAATTATATGAAATTTATACCATTGGATTCGTTAAATTGTGAGGAATCTAATGGTAGTAATTTTCATCTTTCTAGCATTAATATTGACCGAGTTATACCATACAATATAATTTTAATTGTGTGTTCATATTACATTTGTGAGTTCTATTAGTATAGTTCAGAGTCCTCTTTCGCTACTTTGATTAGGACTAGCATTTGACCATGGTAGATTAAATGATCTATTATTGGTGCAATTTTGGTTCGAGGTTATCGGGATCAATGAAATATCGTCAAGGACTATAATATGCCTTCCCAGGAATGATTCTTTACCTGAGGATACATCTAAACATAACTTATAGTACCAACTAAAAGAGCAGTTATTAATCTCATACTTTGGTTGATCATGTTTGTCTTGTTTGTGAGGTAAATGTAATTTGAGTTATGATAAACCTCTACCCAAAAGTTACGTATTTCTTTCTTTCTGAGATGCTCTTTCACGTAGAAATTCAAAGCAGACTTACTCTTAACATTTCTCACTACCTGCGTCGATTTTCCCATTACAATGATGTTTATTCAAGTTATCAGCATATCGTTGATGTCAAAATGAACAACTTTTATGCAAGTTGCATTCACCTTTTAAAATGGAATCATTTTTAATAATCAATTTTATTTACATGTCGAGATCATACAAACGATCACAAAATCAGAAACTAGAAAATAGCCAAAGTGTCCAGAAGTTCTTAAAAAAATAGAAAATTACTTATGACATTTACGAAAAAATTCAGAAAGCAAATTAGAATAAGCTTATCGAAAAGCCTATGTAGATAAGTCACGAGAACGAGAATGCTGAATTTGTAATATTTTAGAAACTGAAAATTAGAAAAATATTCATTACCATATACCAATTAGGACATTCGATAAATTTCCTTTCAGGTAAACAGTGTCGCACACTTCAAAGTCTTTGATTTTATGATCGATCGTTTTGTCTATCATGATGAATACCTTTATCTGTAAGTAGGTCCCTTAGTAGGATCTGTTTTGAACATTTTTACGACACTGATAATCTTTTTGATTATGAATTTTGCGTGATCCTCTCTCTAAAGTCGTGTATATAACAAAATGTCTCAAGTTTTTGAAGGCATTTTTCAAATCGAAATAGAAAAAAGGTAAATATAAAAAATTTTTTTATGTGAAAAATGAATTTAATCACATTTAGCGCAGCATAAATAAAGAGAAAAAATTGAAAAAATTTTCTTATTTAAAAGACCTGGATCAGTTAGGATAGGAAAGTTGGCATTACTCAATTAGTTAATCCAATTAAAACGAAAGGTTAAGTATCGTTCTTCACGAATGATTAGATAATCTAACTACTTACTCTAAAGACTAAGAAATGTAATATCAGAAGGATATTTTTTCTAATACAGAGCAGTAGATTGGACCATATGAGAGTATTTGTTGCAAGTGTTTTGATAATCCATGTCAAACAAATTTCATTAGCAACCTTTAATTACTTTTAACGAATTAGTGAATTGGGAAATGACCGTTTTATCATCTCAATCAGGAATAAAACACCCTCAGAAATCTTTACTACGATAATAAGCAATAGATTTTATTAAAAAAAATTTAATATGATATTTTTTCATCATTTTTCTTAATAATCTCTTCACAATACCATTTTGAGTTTATAAGATTAATTAAAAGGCTATTTGGATTTTTTGGCCTATGCAACTCTACATTTCTTTTAATAACCCCAAAGGTTTTAAGTCTGAACTATTTGAAGGTCAGTCAATAACCTTCGGAATATTATTATTAAGAAATTCCCTAGCAATATGACTAGTATGCTTAGGATCATTATCCTGTTGTAGTCGCCAATTATCTTGTAATATGTTAAACACTTCCGGGATGTGTTATTCCAATATTTCTGTATAAAATTGCCCATTTATTATACGCCTGAGACTCATTCTACCTTCTATACAAAAACCAACCCATACGAATATTTTATTTCAGTTCTTTGGCATTAGACAAATTGGTTATGCATCTTTATACTAATACTTTATTATATTACAAAATAACTGAAAAATCGTTTCATCACTAAATAGTATTCTATTCCAATTATCATTCATTTGCTGATCTTTTTATCAGTTTTTTTATTTTTATTTAAAATAATTACGTTACCTTTTATGACGATAACTCACCTTTGGCATTTCTTTATAACAAATTTCTCTGATTTTGTTGATTATCATGTTAATTGGCCTGAATATTATTATGTAAATTTTTAATTAACCAAATAAACTTTAATTAAAATTTAAACAATACAATATTTTTTTGGCATTGATAAGTGTGAAATATATGTGCTAGTTTTAATGTTTTAAATATTAAATTTACCAAATAAATTTTTATTTAAAAAACATTATTGGCATTAATATGTAGTATATGTAATGCATGTAACGCATATAATATTTGATATTTTAATTTACCAAATTTTATTTACCATTTATCGAATAAAACTTTTATTTAAATAAATTAAATGAAATATAAACTAAAGTAAAAAAGAAATTTAATCCCTTAATAAAAAAAACATTCTTTCAAAAAAATTCCTTTTTTTCTCATTTTCATTAAAAAATTCATCATTAATAATGGAATCTACAAGACCACAATATAATTTAATTAGTCTTGGATTAAATGAATATGTTGCAAATAAATTGGTTTTTGATGTGATTCATAATTTAATACAACTTTTAGTGAGAATGATTGTAATTGTCGACAAAGTTCAAAAAATAAAAAAAATTCACAAATTTGTTATGAAAAAAATGGTTTCAAAAATTTTTTTGAGAAACATATTGAAATTTGTTCTTTAGACAAATTACAATTTGAATATTCTTAAAGAATAACTAATGTCATTTAAAATAACTAGTGAAAATATTAAAAATCATATAAGAATAACATATAAATATTTCAACAATTCCCTTTCCTTTTGTAAACTAACATATTTAAAATTAATTGAAAAAACTGAATACTATTTAACAACAATTCAAAAACATTTACAGGAAAATGGATTAATAGAACGTACTCATAGTAATACCGGTCGAGCATTAATACTTTTATCACATGTTTATATTAACATAGATGTTTCATCTTCAGTCAAAAATTTTTTAACATAATATAGTAACATTTATGATTTACCATCTCCCTTACATCATCAAAATGATTCAGGTGTCTTTATTTATTTATTTACTGAAAAAACATACACATCTATTTATGAAGAATATATTAATAATATTGAAGATAATCAGACAATTATTTCTTATAATATTTTATAAAACTTTGGCATGAATTAGTACCACATAAAAATTTCAAACATCGGCAAGTGACTTGTGTGAAACCTGTAAAAATCTTAAACAGAATTAAAAATAGCAAAGCATGATATAGAAGAACATAATAAAATCAAAATTCAATATGAAATGCATTGTAAAGCAGCAAATCTTGAGCGTAAACATTATAATAAAAATATTAATAAAAGCAAAAATAATAAAATAATAGCACATATTGTTATGATTGAGCACAAAATGTATTAGTTTCATATTCACCATAGCAAGTTGGAACTCTTTATTTTAAAAATACTTTTTCTGTTTATTTATTTAATGTGTGCAAAACTAAAGGTAATCAGAATTATCAATTAAATTATTTAATTACAGAAGATGAGTTTCCTAAAGAAACAGCTAAAGGGGCTAATACTACTTTAAATATGATATATAATGCATTTCAAAAATTTGCTTGTATAGGAAAAAAACATTTAAGAATTACTTATAACAATTGTGCAGGACAAAATAAAAATAAGCTTTCTTTATAGTTTTGGACATGGTTAATTATGTTAGGATGATATAAAGAAATTATCGTAAATTTTATGATTTCAGATCATACAAAATTTATATTTGATATATTTTTTGGACATATTAAAAAAGTATATAGAAACACAAGAATTAATACAATCAATGCAATGATATAGAGAGAATTGTGAATTGCTTATCTAAAGGAAATGAAGCAATTTGCTATAAAAATGGATGGATTTGGTATAATTTTGAAGGTTTTTTTAAAAAATCATTTTATTTCTTTCTTAATATAAAAAAATATTATCATTTTTGTTTTAGTAATTCATCTAGTGATATCAGTAAAGTTTATATTTCAAAGGAATCTGGAGAATTAGAAACATCTTTTGAACTTCTTTGTAATAATTGTTTTGATAAAAATGGCAAAATCAGTATAATTTCAATTTCACCATTAACAAAAAAATGAAAACAATATTTATATTCTAATATTCGTAAACACATTAACGAACCATTTAAAGAGGTTCATTTTTCTAAACCTGATGAATATTAGCTTATTAAATAAATAAATATATTAAATTGTTAATTAAAATAAAAGGTACAGAAAATTTATTTAAAATTAATAGAAAAAGTAGGAAAAGGAATAAATGAAATGAGGGAAAAAAAAGTAAAACAAGTGACAAAAAGAAGCGAAATATTTTATAGAATAAAAAAAGGTACAAAAAGAGGAAGTGAAAAATAAGCAAAAAAGGGAAAACAAAAAGAAGATATGAAAAGGGAAGAAGTCCTGTACCAGCATCATTTTCAGCACTATCATTAACACCAACATCGGTACCATTAAAAACCAACATATGATTAGTCATCAAAACATCCAAAAAATTACAAAACTCCAAATGTATCTTGTCAAAATAAAAGAAAGAAAATATTAAATAAAAGAAGAAATGAAAGAATGAAATAAAGAAGAGATGAAGGAAAATAATATACGAAAAAAGGAGAAGAAAAGAATAAAATAAAAGTGATTGCTTACTTAGACATGAAGAAAAAACGCAAGTTGGTAATTTTCATCATCAACTATCTTCTCACGCAAATTTAAGCACAGATGCAGTGTGTAAAAGTATTAAAAGAATATAATATCGAGAGTTATTTCTATTTAGTTTTGTGAAGTCAGTAATTTTTTATTTTTTTGCTAGGATTATACAATAAAAATATAGTTATATACTGCATAGTAGAGATAAAGCAAATAAATATGAACTATTTATCAAAAAGTATTCTGATTCTACAATTACTAGGAATAATAACTGGAACCTTCACAATCACCTCTTACTGAATATAATCTATATTATACTGAAAATGAATTTGATTCTGAATATTATTCAGATTATATTGAAAATGAATTTGAATATGATTCTGATTACTTTTATGTAAAGTTAATGACTCTAAACAGGAAATGCAACCACTATCAAAATCACCAAAGAAGAAAAGTTGAAAGTATTATGACAATTTATGAGGAAAGGATATCAATGAAGAAAATCGATAAAAAATCCAAAATGCATATTGAAAAGGTGAGATACTAATTTTTTTTCACAATAATATTAACATTTCAATGAGATCAAAAATGCTAAAATGCTAAAATTCTTTTTTTTTTCTTTTTTTTAATAGCTCAATGAGGATTTTAAAAAGTTTGATTTTTACAATATTCCTTTAAGTTATAATCAATATAATGCAGCAGTCTTGTTTGCAACTGATTTTATGTTCAAGAATATCGGCTTTGCTAAAATTTCCTATTCAAACAATTTGATTTCTTCCCAGAAATTTGATGACACTATTTACGTTTTCATTGATAATTCCAATATTTTAGTTGGATTCAGTTTATATTATCAATTTAAATTTAGAAACTGCAAACCAAAGGTTAAAAAGATGCCAAAGGTGCTCATGTTAGATTATGATACTCTTTTCAAAATCATAGAAAAAGGAAGAAATGTCTAAACTACTCACATAAGCGGAACAAGCCAGTTATCAATGTACAGTTTACAACGTATTAATCAAAGAGAACAATGTATCGATGAACTGTTCCAATTCAAGATCTATAAAATTTTGCTAGAGACTCAAGCGCTATCTACTTTGATCCTCGCTAGTGAAAATTGAAATAATACTGAATATAATAAAAGAGGCTTTTAGAAATGTATAAAAAATGCTTTGGAACTTAGTTGGAAAGTCAAAATTATTAGTTGAAAATACGAATTGAATAAAAACTTTACACAGCAACGCCTTACTTTCTAGTGGAAAATTTGCCACAATATATGGACGAGATAGGAAATAACTTACTATTTGCACTTTTGAAACCTATGCATATGAGTGCCAAACTAAAAGAAGTGTGTGTTGAAATAAGAAACAAGTTACAGAAAATAGTGAAAAAACAAAAATTAATAATAAGAAAAAAAAGTAAATAAAAAGAAAAAAAAAATAGAAGGTACAAAAAAGGAGGTAATAGAAAGAACAAAAATAAAAAAATAAAAAAAAAGTGAAAAAAGAAAGGAATAAAATAAAGATTACATCAGAATTCCTTCGTTAAATCAATTTAATCGAATGGAGAAAGAAAACGTAGTACAGTTATTGATGATTCTAATCAACGGCGGTTGATATTATAAGCTCCATGAAGAATTAATAGTATTATCATTCAAAAAAAAATTAAAAAGAAAAAACAAACAATAAGAAAAAAAAAAGGGAAGGAAAAAAGAAGAAGAAACAAAGAATGAATAAATAGAGAAGAAAAAGAAAATAAGAATAAATTAAAAAGATTGAAAGAAAATAATGAACAAAAAAATGGAAAAAAGTTTAATGCTTTGGCATTGGCAAATGTTTTAGAAAAGTCATTCCTACCTTGATGTATAATTAGTGTTTTATACGGATCTTATCAGATCGGATTTGGGCAAAATCCGATTCGATCCAAATCTGAAAAATCTGAATCCGATTCGATCTGAATTCGAAAAATCTGAATCTGATTCGATTTGAATCTGACAAATCCAAATCCGTGTCCGTATCTGACGGATCAAAAAATTTTTTAATAAAAATTTACCTCCGACGTTCGAAATGGCGTTTTAATGATAAAAAAACAACAATTTTGTTGTTTTTTTAACAAAAATCCACCTCCGACGTATATAACGGCGTTTTAATGATAAAAAAACAACAATTTTGTTGTTTTTTTTAACAAAAATCCACCTTCGACGTTCGGAATGGTGTTTTAATGATAAAAAAACAACAATTTTGTTGTTTTTTTAACAAAAATCCGCCTTTGACGTTTGAAACGGCTTTTAATGTTAAAAAAACAACAATTTTGGTTTTTTTAACAAAAAATACGCCTTTGACGTTCGGATCAGTATTTTTATATAAAAAATTAATAAAAATTAATTTTTTTATTAATAAATGCTGTGTCCGACTTTCGGGGCAACATTTTATTATTAAAATTTGATTTTTTAATAATAAATGCTGCGTCTGACTTTCGGGGTAACATTTTATTATTAAAATTTGATTTTTTAATAATAAATGCTGCGTCTGACTTTCGGGGCAACATTTTATTATTAAAATTTGATTTTTTAATAATAAATGCTGCGTCTGACTTTCGGGGCAACATTTTATTATTAAAATTTGATTTTTTAATAATAAATGCTGCGTCTGACTTTCGGGGCAACATTTTATTATTAAAATTTGATTTTTTAATAATAAATGCTGCGTCTGACTTTCGGGGCAACATTTTATTATTAAA